ACAATTTACACAGCCGTTGTCATATCTCTTTGTTTACATGCACTCACCAGACACTCGATATCAATGCTCCAAAGAAATTGTCTATTACGAAACACAATCACGTCTCAGCACCTGATTCGCACCTGCCCATGGTGATTGGCTTCTATCTTTAATGTCTTTCTCCCTTCTCTCATATTTCTCTTTATTCTTTTCTTACAATTCTCCCCATTTTATCGACCCTCCCCTTCTTCCCCTTCCTCAACCCCTCACACACTTAGCCCGAACTGCACCTGAGGGAGAGTACTAATTGCGGAAGAGGCTTTTTTGAAGACGCACCTGAGGAGCTTCTTACACTCTGAGATTAGATATGGAAGTAATGCATAAAGGGGAGATAACACGAACGTACAGATGCAGACTATATTATCTCTCTTCAGACTGTGAGACTATGTGTGGGTGTAAGATCAAAAGTATTAGTTTTACGGTGCAGTTGAAATTAAAATAGAATACGACAGAGGTAACATTTTTATTATTTTATTTCGCAGAGCATAAAGTACAGGGCAGGACAATCCATTATTTGTTAAGTAGTAATAGTAGTTTGCCAATGTTAAATAGAAACCACAAGTGTTAATTAAAAACCACCAGTGATAATCAGAAACCACCACCGCTAATTAGACACCTGCCTCACTAATTAAAGACCCCCTACGGCTAAATTAAGACCGGAAGCGTTAACTAGAGAACAGATAAGAGACCGCTCGAGGCATGATGGGCCGTGATGCTGGGTAACATGCTGGTATAAACACTGTTAAGGTTCACCTAACTTACTGTGATGGAAAACGGATCAACTGATATTACAGGCTGTGGGGGTGTGGGGGTGTGGGTGGGGTGGAGTGGGATGTGGTGGGGAATGTGGCTGTGGGGTGGTGAAGGGGGTGTGGGGTGTTTTGTGTGGGAATGTGGAATGTAGGAGTGGGGGAAATGGGTATGTTGGTGGCTTAATGAGGTTAGGGTTATGGGTGTGGCGAATGTGGGAGTTATGTGGGTGAGAGTTTTGGGTGTTAAGGGAGTCTGTGTGGGGCTGTGGGTGTGTTTGTGTGACGATAATGACAATAGTAACCAAATAATAATAATAATAATAATAATAATAAGGACAATTATCATAATGAATTTATTTATTAAATTTATCACAATAGCAGTAAAAGTGAGCTGTAATAACCTGCCTCACTTTCTCTTGACGAGAGAAAGTTTAGGTCATTATTTTCCCTTGAAGGTAACATTATCACCCGTGTTAATGGCGACAGAGAGATAGAAAGTTGAGTGAGAGACAAAGATGAGTAAGAGACAAAGAAAGTTGGTTGAGGGAGATAAAGAAAGTTGAGTGAAAGACAAAGAAAGTTGGTTGAGGGAGATAAAGTTGAGTGAGAGACAAAGAAATTTGGTTGAGGGAGATGGAGAAAGTTGAGTGAAAGACAAAGAAAGTTGGTTGAGGGAGATAAAGTTGAGTGAGAGACAAAGAAAGTTGGTGGGAGAGATAGAAAGTTGAGTGACACATAGATAAATTTGGTTGAGAGAGATAGATAAAGTTGGGTCAGAGAAAGGTAGAAAATAGAGTAAGAGAAAGAGAAAGTTGAGACATATAAAAAGTTAAGTGAGATAGATAAAGAAAGTAGAGAGATATAAGAAGGGTGATGAGAAGGATAGATATATTGGTGAGAGATATATAATGCTTAGTGAGATAGATTGAGAGCTTGGAGAGAGAGAGAGAGAGAGAGAGAGAGAGAGAGAGAGAGAGAGTCACAAAAAATTCAGGGTTTTATCGCTATTTTTTTCCTGGAGGTTGTCATAGTAACGAGTGATGATGGTGATGATGGCGGGGATGAAAAATTGTGTGTGTTTACTGCAGTTTTGGAGTCCTTAGTAATATTTTGTTTTTTTGGAGGGAGGTCATTCATATGTACGTTTGGAGGATAATCGACCTTTTTCTTTTTTATGAAAGGTTGAGAGATAGAGAGGGAGAGAGAGAGAGAGAGAGATCATTAACTTGTATTTTTGAAGGGCAATTAAGATGTATTTTTGGAGGGAAGGTTATGAACATTAATTTATGGAGGTTGGTCATTAGCGACTGTTTTGGGGAGTCATTAGCACTCATTTTTGGAAGGCGGTCATTAAGATATTTTTGGAGGGTCGTAAACGTACTTTTTTCGACGGGGGGGGCGGGGGGTGAGGAGGGGGGGGTCATGGACTGGGGTGGAGGGGGAAGTGAATAAGGGGTAAGGGGTCTTGGACTGAGTACAATACATTACCCCGTTGATTACAAGGAATTAGTCCTTGGCATTGTGAGATACCCTGAACCCCGTGAGTACGATGAGGAAACCCCTTTGAGTACGATTTTCAATACCCTTGAGCATGACGCGATTCCTTTCCACAGTGTGAGTATTCATGGTACTCAAAGGGTTAATCCACCGTACTCAAGGGGTTAACCCACCATACTCAAAGGGTTAACTCATCGTACTCAAGGGTTTAACTCATCGTACTCAAGGGTTACTTCATCGTACTCAAGGGGTTAACTCATCGTACTCAAGGGGTTAACTCATAGTACTCAAGGGGTTGACCCACCATACTCAAGGGGTTAACTCATCGTAATCAAGGGGTTAACTCATCGTACTCAAGGGGTTAACCCACCATACTCAAGGGGTTAACCCACCATACTCAAGGGGTTAACCCACCATACTCAAGGGGTTAACTCATCGTACTCAAAGGATTAACCCACCGTACTCAAGGGGTTAACTCACCACTCAAGGGGTTAACTCATCGTACTCAAGGGGTTATTTCATCGTACTCAAAGGGTTAACCCACCGTACTCAAGGGGTTAACTCATCGTACTCAAAGGGCTAAAACATAAACAACAGTTGATATGAGAAATGCCCAAAATTGTCCCATATTGGCTGTGGCGGCAGTGCCTGTGAAGGAGGCGACTGTGGCGACTGTTGTGGAGGCTGATGTGGTGGAAGCTGCTGTGGTGGAGGGTGTGGTGGAAGTTGCTGTGGTGGAGGGTGTGGTGGAAGTTGCTGTGTTGGAGGCTGTGGTGGAGGGTGTGGTGGAAGTTGCTGTGGTGGAGGCTGTGATGGAGGGTGTGATGGAAGTTGTTGTGGTGGAGGGTGTAGTGGATGTTGCTGTGGTGGAGGGTGTAGTGGATGCTGCTGTGGTGAAGGGTGTGGTGGAGGCTGCTGTGGTGGAGGCTGCTGTGGTGGAGGCCGCTGTGGTGGAGGCTGCTGTGCCGTCTGCTGTGGAGGCTGCGTGGTGGAGGCTGCTGTGGTGGAGGCTGCTGTGGTGGAGGCCGCTGTGGTGGAGGCTGCTGTGCCGTCTGCTGTGGAGGCTGCTGTGGTGGAGGATGAGGAGTCTGCTGTGCTGTCTGCTGTGGAGGCTACTGTGCCGTCTGCTGTGCCGTATGCTGTGAGGGCTGCTATGGCGGAGACTGAAATATATCGGCATCAGATCTGTAAAAGTCAATATTCCTCAATGGGCCTTAACAGTCGACAGGTGGTTTAAAACCAAATCAAACTCCACGTTATGAGATTGTGTGGTCTGGTTACTTCTACCCACGACCACTTTCTATGGTTAAGTTAGTAGTGACCCACTGTGAGAGGAATGGGGAGAGGGAAGGAGGGTAGGTGGGAAGAGAGAGGGGAGGGGTAATAGGGAAAATTATTGGAAGGGAGGTAGTAAATGTAGAAAGGTAGGTTGGGGAATGGAAAATAGAAGAAGGAAGGGAAATTTTTTTTTCTCTCTCGCTCTCTCTCTCTCTCTCGCTCTCTCTCTCTCTCTCTCTCTCGTTCTAAACAGGGAGCATAACTCATCATAAGAACATCGGAAATTCTCTTATTCCTCTCCTATTCTGAGATCGATGACGGCCAATGAAGTCCTGTACATGCAAACGTTGCCTGGCTGCCTTGCGGACGTAGGCTCACCTCGCTGGACTTGGACCAGCTTAAGGTCGGATTCGCCAATCTGACTTGGACTTTTAGCCAGGCATGGGCCAATTACTTTGAAAATGTAATTGATTACATTTATAATTAAAATTAAAATTATTGGTAGTGAATTACAATTAGTCACGAATTGCTTGAAAATTTGTAATTAAACACAATCAGTTAGTTACAAATTGCAATTGCCTTCTGCCTACTTGGAGAAGCATTTGGTTGGAATTGCTAGTCAGACTTGAACCATACATTTGAGAAAGTATTTTTACAGGAAAGTATACTGTACATACGATAAAGTATTCTTACGGGAAAGTATCCATACGATAAAGTTTCATATGGAAAAATATACATTCGAAAAGCATACATACAAGAAAGTATACATCCAAGAAAGTATACATACGAGAAAGTATACATTAAATAAAGTATATAACCGAGAAAGTATACGTACTCCCCTGGGCAAGAAAGACCCATGGACCAGGATACATTCACGGCTCCCAGGTTAAAGGTGTCCACTTATAATTTACCAGCGACTTATACAAACCGAGGTTCACTGACAGTCGCAATGTAGTTCCCAGTCAGGGTCTTTTACACGGGTTGTTAGGTTGTAAATGTCTCTAATATTTACACGGGATTTTAACCAATAGAATATATTTAATATTTACTCGGGATGTAAAAATGTAAATACTGGATATTTAATGTTTACACGGTATGTAAAATTAGAAATATATTTAATGTTTATGCGGGATTTAAGTATAAAATAATCCCTTTAATGTTTACACAGAACTAAAATAAGACTATATTTGCTAACATTCACTTCAATGTTCTCTCTCTCTCTCTCTCTCTCTCTCTCTCTCTCTCTCTCTCTCTCTCTCTCTCTCTCTCATAAATCAATGATGCACAAGGAAGGAGGAAACATTACTAGCCGCCTCTTAATTATCAAATGAGAAAATATTACCAGACAGATATAATTACTTCTCGCTAACTACTTACTTAATGACTTTTGTGAGTTAATTAATGGTGCTTGAAATGTGCATGGTCTTACGGTAGTGTACATTAAGTTACGGAAGTGTACATTAAGTTACGGAAGTGTACATCAAGTTACAGAAGTGTACATCAAGTTAAGGAAGTGTACATCAAGTTACAGAAGTGTACATCAAGTTACGGAAGTGTACATCAAGTTACAGAAGTGTACATCAAGTTACGGAAGTGTACATCAAGTTACAGAAGTGTACAGCAAGTTAAGGAAGTGTACATCAAGTTACGGAAGTGTACATCAAGTTACAGAAGTGTACATCAAGTTACGGAAGTGTACATCAAGTTACGGAAGTGTACATCAAGTTAAGGAAGTGTACATCAAGTTACGGAAGTGTACATCAAGTTACAGAAGTGTACATCAAGTTACGGAAGTGTACATCAAGTTACGGAAGTGTACATCAAGTTACAGAAGTGTACATCAAGTTACGGAAGTGTACATCAAGTTACGGAAGTGTACATCAAGTTACGGAAGTGTACATCAAGTTACAGAAGTGTACATCAAGTTACGGAGTGTACATCAAGTTACGGAAGTGTACATCAAGTTACAGAAGTGTACATCAAGTTACGGAAGTGTACATCAAGTTACGGAAGTGTACATCAAGTTACAGAAGTGTACATCAAGTTACGGAAGTGTACATCAAGTTACGGAAGTGTACATCAAGTTACGGAAGTGTACATCAAGTTACAGAAGTGTACATCAAGTTACGGAAGTGTACATCAAGTTACAGAAGTGTACATCAAGTTACGGAAGTGTACATCAAGTTACGGAAATGTACAATACATCAAGTTAGGGAAGTGTACATGACCTTATAGCAGGGTTGTACATAACCTTTAAGAGGTATACATGTACTTACTAAAGGAAATGTACATGAACCTTCAAAAGTGTACATGAACAGCGCGTCTCTCTCTCTCTCTCTCTCTCTCTCTCTCAGACCATCGTTCACAGGCTCGACTAACCAATAGAAACAAAGCCAAGCCCCTCCCACCTGAAGGCATTATAAAGCTCAACCAATCACAACACATGGTCACCCCACATAGTCTACCAATCACAAAACAGTAAACACAAAAATGAATAGCCACTGGTCCATACCATAAAAAGTGAATTAGCGCCAGCACGAGCAATTAACAGTGTCCGGCGTTCTCTCTTGCAGTGACACGCTCAGGGGAATTGAGACTGGTGAACAAAACAGCCTTCGCCCGCCTTCTGCCTGCGGCGCCGGTGTTTGTACTGAAGAAAATGGGAAAAAAATTAACGCTTAAGATGAAAGGGGAAACTACTGAAGTCCTAAGAATACGTCTTTTGTTAGTCTGTGTGGGAAGAAATGGGAAAATATGCGTACAGTTGATGACGGTATAACGGAGACAAAATTAAAAAAAATATATATATAATTTTGCCTTAGTTGATATTAAGTACTTGTTGTTAGTGTTTATATGACGTCATGGTTAGGTTAAGATAGTTTTAGTGCCTTTAAGTTAAATATATTAACACGTTGGTCAAGGAACTTTGGTTAGATTTCATTAAGAGAGATTATATATAATTTGGTTAGGTTAGGTTAATTTAGGCTAGGGCTAAGCTAGGTTAGGTTAACTTAGGCTAGGGCTAAGCTAGGTTAGGTTAACTTAGGCTAGGGCTAAGCTAGGTTAGGTTAGGTCTACGTTGGTAAGGTTTGTTTAAGCAACCATGGAATTATTTTTCTTGGCATGAACAAAATCTTAAAGTGTACAGTTATGAAAAAAAAATCCTGGACACTTTTAGCATTATCTGGGATTTAACATCTACTGAATATATCTAACCCAACCATTATTAACAGAAGTGAAGAGGAGGAAGTGAGGTGGAGTAAAGGGGAAAATCTGATAACATTCAACCAGAGATGTATTGAGGTTATGCTTGATTATTGGCAAAGAGAGAGAGAGAGAGAGAGAGTTAAGATCATGAGACAGACTCCTCTTCCGTCTCCCTTCCCTCCCCCTTTCCTCCCTTCCTACTCCCCTCCTCACCCAAGAGCCAGGCTTGTCACCTCTGCCCTTTTAACAGACTTGATAACACAACTAACATTATCTATGTCAATCCAAGGTTGTAATGGCCATGCGATGTTGTAATTATGGGTGTCATTAAATTTAATTACATACAGAGCGTGTGTGTGTGTGTGTGTGTGTGTGTGTGTGTGTGTGTGTGTGTGTGTTTAAAAATAAAATCCCTTCTCCCCAAAAAAAATCTCTCGGCTTACATGTTAAGTTTGTTCAGACCATCATTCCTCCCTCCTCCCACCACTCCTCCCTCCTCCTCCCTCCTCCCTCCCTCCCTCCTCCCCTCCCTCCCTCCCTCCCTCCCTCCCCTCCCCTCCCATCCTCCCTCCCTCCCTCCCTCCTCCCTCCCCTCCCCTCCCCCTCCCCTCCCTCCCCTCCCTCCTCCTCCCTCCTCCTCCCTCCCTCTCTCCCTCCCCTTATTCAAGCCACATATATTTTCTCTCAGGTGATATATTAACAGGTGACGCCTCGAACAGCACAATGTCAGATTTCATAGTTGTGGGGGGGGACACCTGTAACATCTGTCACCTGAAAAAAACAAGTGCATTAGAGACATCACCAACATCATCACAGGTGTGGGTTAGAGCTGTTAATATACACCTGTAACATTTGTCCACAATACCCATATTTACAGCAGGTGTGGCGTTAATGAGCAATAATATTCGTACCAAATATTAAAAAAAATGACGCAAATAATGACAATGAACGATGTATAGTAGTGACGTTAGTGTTATGGACTGCGTCATTACCCAGGGCTAGTGGGATCAAAGGTCAGTGTGCTGCTTTGTAATGTGTGTGGGAAGAGGTCAAACGGTACGATAGGTCAAGCATTATTGTCAGAGGTCAAGAAGAGGTAGACAAGCATCATGTTAGGTTTGATTTAAAGACATGCGGGTACTACTAATAAATATTACCTCTCTCTCTCTCTCTCTCTCTCTCTCTCTTACCGCGTATCTTTCTATCTACCTATATATCTGTCTGTCTGTCTGTCTGTCTTTTCCCCTAAGTGAAAACTGGGTGATAAAGGGGAATTGACTAACCCCTTAATGAGAACTGTTTATCAAAGGAGTAGGGGGGGGGGTTGTGTCAGCCCCATCCATTCTGAAAATTTTTCCTGTCAGCTGTGTTAAAAAGGGTGTGTCAGCGTTGGTCAGGCGGCACGGTCCAAAAAAAAGGAATCTCTCATTGGGTGAATTAGTCAGTCAGTTATTCAGTCAGTCAGTTATTCAGTCAAGTCAGTTATTCAGTCAGTCAGTTATTCAGTCAGTCAGTTATTCAGTCAAGTCAGTTATTCAGTTAAGTCAGTTATTCAGTCAGTCAGTTATTCAGTCAGTCTGTTATTCAGTCAAGTCAGTTATTCAGTCAGTCAGTTATTCAGTCAGTCAGTTATTCAGTCAGTCAGTTAGTTAGCTAGATAATCAGTTAATTAGTTAGTCTGCCAGTTACTCTGTCAGTCAGTCAGTCAGTCAGTCAGTCAGTCAAGGTTGGTAGTCACAAATATGTAAAAAAAAAGGAAGCATCATTCACTCCATGGAATAAACCTACAGCTGCAAACACAGCATCAGTCATGCCAGTTAAAACACAATAAAACACGCCAAACACAGCACCAGTCATGCCAGTTAAACACAATAAAACACGCCAAACCAGCACCAGTCATGGTTAAACACAATAAAACACGCCCACAGCACCAGTCATGCCAGTTAAACACAATAAAACACGCCAAACACAGCACCAGTCGTGCCATTTAAAACACAATAAAACACCCAAACACAGCACCAGTCGCGATTCAAGCCACAATAAACACGCCAGCAGCACAGTCGCAGTTAAAACACAATAAAACACAATAAACACAATAAAACAAGCCAAACACAGCTCATGGCAGCTAAAACACAGATAACACGCCAAACACAGCACAGTCTGGCAGCTAAAACACAATAAACAAAACAAACCAGCCATGGCAGTTACGCACAATAAAACACAATAAAACAAGAAACACAGCACCAGTCATGGCAGCTAAAACACAAGATAACACGCCAAACACAGCACCATGGCAGCAAACACACAAAAACAAGCCAAACACAGCACAAAGCAGTTAAAACACAATAAAACACAAAAAAACAAGCAAACACAGCACCAGTCATGGCAGCTAAAAACACAAGATAACACAACACAGCACCAGTCATGCAGCAAACACAATAAAACAAGCCAAACACAGCACCAGTCATGGCAGCTAAAACACAAGATAACACGCCAAACACAGCACCAGCCATGCCAGTTAAAAACAATAAAACAAGCCAAACACAGCACCAGTCAGCAGCTGCAAAACACAAGATAACACGCCAAACACAGCACCAGTCAGGCAGTAAAACACAATAAAACACAAAAAACACAATAAAAACAAGCCAAACACAGCACCAGTCATGGCAATAAAAACACAAGATAACACGCCAAACACAGCACCAGTCATAGTAGTAAAAACACAATAAAACACAAAAAAACACATAAAACAAGCCAAACACAGCACCAGTCATGGCAGCTAAAACACAAGATAACACGCCAAACACAGCACCAGTCATGGCAGCAAAAACACAATAAAACAAGCCAAACACAGCACCAGCCATGGCAGTTAAAACACAATAAACACAATAAAACAAGCCAAACACAGCACCAGTCATGGCAGCTAAAACACAAGATAACACGCCAAACACAGCACCAGTCATGGCAGCAAAACACAATAAAACAAGCAAACACAGCACCAGCCATGGCAGTTAAAAACAATAAAACACAATAAAACAAGCCAAACACAGCACACCAGTCATGGCAGCTAAACACAAGATAACACGCCAAACACAGCACCAGTCATGGCAGTTAAAAACACAATAAAAACAAACACAGCACCAGTCATGGCAGCTAAAACACAAGATAACACGCCAAACACAGCACCAGCCATGCCAGTTAAAAACACAATAAAACAAGCCAAACACAGCACCAGTCATGGCAGCTAAAACACAATAAAACACAATAAAACAAGCCAAACACAGCACCAGCCATGGCAGTTAAAACACAAAACACAATAAAACAAGCCAAACACAGCACCAGTCATGGCAGCAAAACACAATAAACACGCCAAACACAGCACCAGTCATGCCAGTTAAAACACAAAAACAAGCCAAACACAGCACCAGTCATGGCAGCTAAAACACAAGATAACACGCCAAACACAGCACCAGCCATGCCAGTTAAAAACACATAAAACACGCCAAACACAGCACCAGTCATGCCAGTTAAAACACAAACACAATAAAACAAGCCAAACACAGCACCAGTCATGCCAGTTAAACACAATAAAACACGCCAAACACAGCACCAGTCATAGCAGTAAAACACAATAAAAACACATAAAACACGCCAAACACAGCACCCAGCTAGCCAGTTAAAACACAATAAAACAAGCCAAACACAGACCAAATAAGAAAACACAATAAAACACAAAAACAAGCCAAACACAGCACCAGTCATGCCAGTTAAAACACAAGAAAACACGCCAAACACAGCACCAGCCATGCCAGTTAAAACACAATAAACAAGCCAAACACAGACCAGCTCAGCAGTTAAAAACAATAAAACACAATAAAACACGCCAAACACAGCACCAGTCATGCCAGTTAAAACACAATAAACACGCCAAACACAGCACCAGTCATAGCAGTTAAAACATAAAACAAGCCAAACACAGCACCAGTCATGGCAGCTAAACACAAGA